CCGTATCCCGTTATTCCTTGCTTATTCATAGATCTGTCTGATGCTTTTAACTTTGTCCCTTCTAGGTACTGATCCTCTTTTATCAAATCCCTTTGTAATTTTGAACACCTCTAATTCAGTCTCTTTAACCTTCTCTGCTCCAATGAGAAGCGCCATTTCTCCAAGTGCTTGAATTCTCTTGTACTTGGTGTCTCTGATGTTCCTTCTTCAAATGTCCGTTGATGTCTAAGGATTTGGTATAACTTATTTGCTTTTCGTTCTTGATGCAGTTTACTAATAAAGTTAGGGGGAAAGATTTAAAAGGACCTAAGGGGCAACTTTTTCACGCAGAGGGTGGTGTGTGTATGGAATGAGCTGCCAGAGGAAGTAGTGGAGGCTGGTACAATGACAACATTTAAAAGGCATCTGGATGGATATGTGAATTGGAAGGGTTTGGAGGGATATGTGCCAAATGCTGACAAATGCTTGACAAATCTTTTGGAATTCTATGAAGACATTACGAGCGAGGTGGACAATAGGGATCCAGTGGATGTGGTGTACCTAGATTTCCAAAAGGCCTTCGACAAGGTGCCACACAAGAGGCTACTGCATAAGATAAGGATGCATGGTGTTAAGGGTAAAGTATTAGCATGGATAGAGGATTGGTTGACTAACAGGAAGCAAAGAGTGGGGATAAATGAGTGCTATTCTAGCTGGCTGTCAGCGACTAGTGGTGTGCCTCAGGGATTGGTGTTGGGACCGCAATTATTTACAATTTATATAGATGATTTGGAGTTGGGGACCACGTGTAGGGTGTCAAAGTTTGCAGATGACACTAAGATGAGTGGCAGAGCAAAGTGTGCAGAGGACTGTGAAACTTTGCAGAGGAACATAGATACATTGAGTGAGTGGGCAAAGGTCTGGCAGATGGAATACAATGTAAATAAATGTGAAGTCATACATTTTGGTAGGAGTAATAGTAGAAAGGATTATTACTTGAATGGTAAAAAGTTGCAGCATGCTGCTATACAGAGGGACCTGGGTGTCCTTGTGCATGAATCACAGAAGGTTGGTCTGCAGGTACAACAAGTAATTAGGAAGGCAAATGGAATTTTGTCCTTCATTGCTAAAGGGATTGAAATAAAAAGCAGAGAGGTTATGTTGCAGCTGTACAAGGTGCTGGTGAGGCCACACCTGGAGTACTGTGTGCAGTTTTGGTCTCCTTACTTGAGAAAGGATGTATTGGCACTGGAGGGGGTGCAAAGGAGGTTCACTAGGTTGATTCCGGAGTTGAGGGGGTTGTCTTATGAGGAGAGACTGAGTAATTTGGGATTATATTCATTGGAATTCAGAAGATTGAGGGGGGAACTTATAGAAACATATAAAATTATGAAGGGAATAGATAAGATAAAAGTAGAGAGGATGTTTCCACTGGCAGGTGAAGCTAGGACAAGAGGGCATAGCCTCAAGATTAGAGGGAGCAGATTTAGGACTGAACTGAGAAGGAATTTCTTCACCCAGAGGGTTGTTAATCTATGGAATTCCTTGCCCAGTGAAGTAGTTGACGCTACTTCAGTAAATGTTTCTTAAAAAAAAAGGTAGTTTTTTTTGAACAATAAAGGAATTAAGGGATACGGTGAGAACGCGGGTAAGTGGATCTGAGTCCATGAAAAGATCAGCCATGATCTTATTGAATGGCGGAGCGGGCTCGAAGGGCCAGACGGCCTACTCCTGCTCCTAGTTCTTATGTTCTAAATGGGACTAGATTAAATTAGGGTATCTGGTCAGCATGGACAAGTTGGACTAAAGGGTCCATTTCCATGCTGTGCAATTCTATGACTCTATAACAGTTTTATAATCTTGTCTTGGTACTTGAAAAGATTTGGATACTTGTGTGTTCCTACCTCATTAGGAATTTTTAAAAATCTGATCATCTTCTCATACTGTAAAATAATTTTTTAAAGAACTTTATCAAATATTTGTGGAGGTTTTTTTTTAGAAGGAGTGTTTAATGAAAAGAAACTTCTGAAAAATAATTTTCTTGCTTTTTTTCTGGATCTACAAGAAATATGGGAAGTTGCATTAAATGAGAGTAAAATGACGATGAGGAAAATGGTGTGACAGGCAAAAAGCACTGGGTCAGGAGTGATCCTATTGCGATGGAAGTACTGACCACAGAAGGGGGTTTGACAATGAAAAACACACAAGTGGAGGACTGAAAACTACAGCCACCACCACCCCCCAACCCCACTCTCTCACTCTCCATAAGAGGTACGTCAGTCTTCATTTAGATATTTTTGAGTCTATAACATGCCGCTTGCACTCAGTTTAGGCACTCCATCATTTCTTTGGCAGCATTTGATGAAAAATCTGGAGCTACCTTGACCCTACTGTGAAACTCCCTCAGTAACCTCACTTCCCCCTTTTAAAGAAATATTCTCAATCTCCCACCCACCCAAATTCCCTCCCGTGATCGAACCGCAGTTCCTCCTTCTACTTCCTACCCCCCCCGAAAGTGCATTAAAATAGGTTCTGCATTGTAGTGCTGTGTAAATGCAAGTTGTTGTTGTTGTTTGGATAATATAAGTGGAAACTAATTAGTACCGAGCAAACGATTTGTCACAGCTGAAACTCTTTGCTGTCATCCATATGCTGTTGCCACTGTGTACATTAACTGCAGAACATGGACCTTTATTTGCATGCTCCCTATGTACACTTATAAATGAATCTGCCTGGAATTTGTAATGGAGAAATTGCTGTGTTTGATTCCACTCATTTTACATGCAATCACGCATCAGGGATCAAGCAAGCGGTGAAGAGAGACTTAAGATTGTGACTTTATCTTCTACCGATCTCGTGAAAATAATGGGTAACTAGTTCAATGCCTCTGAGATTATGAAAAGTTATGATGAAGAAACTGACTTTTGCTCCCCAAAAAGCATGCTTGATTGGTAGTTCTTTGACTTTTCCAATTATTTAAATATTGCTTGGTCTGTCATTATGAAGCGATTATCAGCTTGAGTTTTTCAAATTATTGAACAGAATTCAGGGCCGGGCACTGGAGTGGGTTAGATATCCAGAGGAACGGCCCTGGAGACTTCTCCACCGACTGGAAATCTGTCCTGCATTAAAGGAGCAGAGGGAATTAGCTGATCGTTGAGATTTGGCAGCAGGAAGGAAATTGGGCTGATAAATGAGCCACTCAAATGCAATGATCCCTTCGCCAACTAGGATTTAATGGAGGCCCAGGGATTAAACAAGAATTGTCAGCCTCCAGGAAACAACCCAGCAAACCATGTGGCGAGTGTGTGAGTGTCGGGGTATGCGTGTGTGTCTGAGTGTGTGTGTGTGTGCGGGCTAGTGTGTGGGGGGGTGTAGAGAGTGTGTGTCTGTATGTGAGTGTGAGTGTGTGTGAGGGGCGCGGGCTAGTGTGTGAGGGGGTGTAGAGAGAGTGTGTCTGTGTGTGTGTGTGCGCGCGCGCGGGGTTGGGGTGAGTACTCACTCACGGGGACTCAGTACGCAATAGAGAGACCTGGTATTGGGGCAGAGCACCTGCTGAAAACCACACCCTTCTCACTGCATCTGACCACCCAACCCCACCCCACACCCGTTACCCCTCTCCAGGAATCTAGTGGCAAAAGCCCCAGCCCCAGACTGGTATTACCCACCGTTCCCATTGGCGCTGCCTGTTCTGGCGAGTTACCTGCCTGTGAAAACAGCCTGACACTTCCTGTGCCACTGGCAGCCTTGGTCCAGTTGGAGGCCCTGGTGCTATCCAGGTAAAAGCCAGCCGCAGTACCTCAAAATTCCACAACCACAAAACCAGTCGCTTGTGAAAAACAGGACATTTTTAAGAACTGCCTTTAATGAGTCAAATTGAAGAAATGTAGCTGACTAAGTTGGGTGGGGTGGTGCACTGGGCATAGTGTGGTGCCAGATTTGTTACCAGCTTCAACCTATCCCACACTCTGTGACCCTTGACCTCAGCCAACCTGGCTTGACCTTGAGCCACCATCCCAAAATCCAGACACACCCAGAGTCTGGCCCAGCCAAGGGGCTCCATTTAAGGTACTGAGCCTGTAATTATGCCAGACCTCATATTGAAAGGTAACAGGGCTGCCATGGTTCTCCTTGGTATGGATGAGGATCCCAATCACTACATTCTGCCATACGGCCTTCTGTGTCAGTCCTCCCTACAGTGTTTCTAAAACCCATACAAGTGGTGAGAACTGATAGATGAGTTATTTGGTATTTATTTCTTGGGTTATCATCAGTGTGTGCTCCAGACAGAGATCAACAGAGCTTTGGATATGGGCACATTGCAAGAAGGTGGAGTTGAGGTGGAAGCTCAGCTCTGATCTTAATAAAATGGCAAGAAAGGATCAAAGGGCTAAGTTGTTCCCTGAATAGCTAGATTTTGAAAATCTAGCAAAATGAATAATTAGTATAAAATATATATGCTGCTGCTGTTTGCAAAACAGATTAACTGGTATTGGGATAACAAGGTGTAGAGCTGGATGAACACAGCAGGCCAAGCAGCATCGGAGGAGCAGGAAGGCTGACGTTTCGGGCCTAGACCCTTCTTCAGAAAATTTTCTGATTCAGAAGATTTTCTGAAGCAGGGTCCAGACCCGAAACGTCAACTTTCCTGCTCCTCCGATGCTGCTTGGCCTGCTGTGTTCATTCAGCTCTACACCTTGTTATCTCAGATTCTCCAGCATCTGCAGTTCCTACTACCCCTTAACTGGTATTGGAACTGTTAGAACCCGAAACAAATTATAGCATAGATTCATTCCGATTAGTCATGCTGCCAATCATGAGGTGATTTTTGGCCTATGGTGTTTATTGCCAGTTCTTTGATCGAGCTAAGGGAGCAGTTCCATTCTAATTCTCTGTCCCCATAACGCTCCAAATATGTAGCAGACCCCTTAGGGGAAGAGAGATAATGTATGAGAAAATGAGGTGGAGAGAAAGCAAATCCTTTGATTTGATCTGTAAAAATGAGGACATGTTGGAAAAACTGGATTTTCAGAAACTGTTTATTTTCATACAACAGCAATTAGCATTTCACAAAATTTGTGCTTTTGAAAATGGTACTTGAAAAGCAATTGGTGATAGTTAACACTGCTAGTCACATCATATCAGCTTCAGCAGACTCTACCTAGCAGCTGTAAGTGGAATCAATATACAATTAGGTTAATTTAGAAAATAATACATTCAAATTATTACAGTTAAAAATAGTAAACACAGACTAAAATTAAAACTTAGCAATTTTTGTCTTTTTCATTTACTTGAAGCATAAGTGTCATACAGAAGAGTTAACACGCTGAGTGAGATCAGTCTGCAGGAGAATGGTCTGGATCTGTGTCAGTATCATTGTCACAATAGGTAATATCAATTTCTGTAAATGGATGGAAGAAAAAGTAAGTTATTTTCGTGTTTATAAACAGCTTAAAAATTCAGGCACTGAAAATCAGCACTGATGAGTTGATGTAGGTACATGATGCATACTGACCCAAGTCTTTGGATTCAGAATGGTTGAGAGGATAATTGAAGCAGCAAACATCATTTGTGTCTGACAGAGGGAATGAGAAACAATGAGATACGAACTGTAAGACACATGGAGCAGAGGGGTGGGGAAGAGAGTGACCAAAAACAACAGGTGAAACAGGACAATGGAGATTGCACAATAGAATGGGAGAGTAGCTGTATGGAAACTACAGGGATTTGTCTTCCAAGTAGGAAATCTTTTCAACACCAGTAACAAATTCACAAGCAGGTTTATAAACATGACCTATTTCCATCCTCAGCATCCAGTTTAAAGTCATACTGCTTTCATCCTTTTAACAGGCCACACATTTCTGCTCTACCAGTCGTCTTCCTTATTATTTAAAAGGCAAAGTAAGGCTGCTTTGATTTGGTAAAACTTTTTATAATAACCCTCTTTTCCTTCAATAGGTGTTATTTGTAGGGAAGTGAACTCTTACAAGGACCCTCTGCATCTGAAACTTCCTTTAGCCCTACAACCCTTCAAGATCTTGGCATTCCAACATCTCTGGCATCTTGCACCTTCCTAACACAGTCACCATCTCATATCTTACTCTTATAAATTGTCATTCCTAAATTTTTCTGAGTGCAAGAAGGTATCTCACTGTACCAGTTCTTCACTTGCTGTAGTTAAAGCCACCTTCAGTGTAGTGTGACCGCACACTTACTTAAAAAGAAATCCACACAATCACAAAAAGATTTAGGGATTCTAGTATTAAGCCATTGAAATTAGCTCCCTGGTGACCAGATCAATCTATAGAAGGTGAACATTTACTGGGCTTCATGACAAAAGGTGTAGAATATGAAAACAATAAAGTGTTCCTGTTACTGTAGAGAGTGCTGACAAAACCTCATTTGAGCAATGCCTTCTGTTCTGATAACCTTAGGAAGGATACCCTGCAATGTAGGGACAGAAATGCCCTGTGGTTGTTTAATTGTTCAATGTTCATGTGATTACCAAAACTAGTTTTCTTATTCTGCCTTCAACCTAGAAATAAATTTGCAAGTCTTCAAAGAAATGCAAGGGGAAAAAAAATGCACAGAACAGTTTTGTAGTGCCTTTAATCTTGGAAAACACCTGTCAAGACTTCACTGCAAAGTTATAATCTGGCCATATCGAGAGATGGTGGGACAAATAGCTGAAAACTCAGTCAGTTTAGGTAGGTTTCATGGGACATCTTCATGCAGGAAAGCTGGAAAACTTTAGGGAATGAATTCCAGACATTATCCCCTAGGTAGCTGGAAGTTGGGCTCCCAATGGTGCAGCAATTTAAAAGAGTGTACTCAAGAGGGCAAAGCGAAGGAGGCAAGAAACTCTGTAACCTTCTCCAGTCCCTAAACCCTCTAAAGATAGGGAGAGCGTGAAGGCCATGGAGGATTTTAGAAATCAGGGAAAAGGTGGAATCAGTGACTAGGAACAAAGTTTGTGGTAGGGATGAAGGACATAACTTCAGTCATTTGCAGTGCTTAGTTGGACAAAATTTCTGGTTACCCATGACTGACTGCTGAAGAGATAGGTGCTGGTGAGGGGGACCTCGATGATATTAGTTCTCCTGTGGAACCGGTTGTGTTTTTGGAAGATGTCACTGAGACACAGCATGCAGATGAAGAATTGAATGGGACCAAGGATAGATCTTTGTTGGGACTCCAGGGGTAATGGTATGGGAGGGGAAAGAGAAGCCGATGCAGGTGGGTCTCTGGATAAGACTGGGTAGATGAGAATGGCATTGAGACATCACCCACCCACCCAATCAGCGAGATAACCAAGCTGTGGTTTTGGTGCAGGAGGATGTGGTCCACCATGTCAAAGTCTGCAGGCAAGTCAAGAAGGATGAGGAAGATTATTTTATCAGCGTTACAATTGTGTAGAATGTTACTCAAGTTAGATAAGGCCAATCAGAACTCTGTCAGGTTTGGAAAGATGAGTTGAGAGTCGTCATGGAGTTCTGGGAATAAATTTGAGAGGCAACAACACATTCAAGACTTCTGGAAATGAAAGTGAAGTTGGAGTTGAAAGTGTAGGGAGGGATGGTCTGATCCCAGGGCCAAAGACAGGAGAAGGCTATGGCAGAGTGGGGAAATACAAAGAGTAGGCAATGGTGATAGAATTGTGAAGGGATTTGGGTTTAGGACTAGGGGAGATATCCTAAATACAAAGGAGCAAGGTAATGAATGGATTTAGACAAATCAATAGAAATTTATAATTTGAGGCAATGGGCAAAGCAGGAGTCTACAATGGACAGTGTTGGAAAGGATTGGATGGCTGAGTTGTGAATGAGTTGGAAGGCTACAGAGGAATAGATGATGGCAAAGGAAGAGACATGGCACCATTTCCAGGGGCACATATAATCTACATTTTGGTCATTGTTAAAGCTGTTTCAGTGCTGTACAGGGGCAAAATTCTCAATGGAGAAGTTCAAACAGGGGGCTGTAGGGAAGTTGGAGGAAACACTAGGGAAAAATACAAATTCAGGGCAAGTGCTACTTTGGGGAAAATCAATCAATTGAGTTGGTCACGTTTTAGAAAAAGTTGGAAATTTAGGTCAACAAGACACCATCTCCCCTATTTAAATAGCCTCGTTTACACTCCCCTGATTAGAAATCCTAGTGTATAAAGGGCGGCATGATGGCTCAGTGCTGCCTCACAGCGCCAGGGACCCGGGTTCAATTTCACCCTCAGGTGACTGTCTCCGTGGAGTTTACACATTCTCCTCATGTCTTCGTGGGTTTCCTCCGGGTGCTCCAGTTTCCTCCCACAGTCCAAAGATGTGCAGGTTAGGTGGATTGGTCATGTTAAATTGCCCTGGAGTGTTCAGGGATGTGTAGATTAGATGGGTTATAGGGGGTTGGGTCTGGATGAGATGTTCTAAGGGTCGGTGCAGCCTTGTTGGGCCAAAGGGCCTGTTTCCACACTGTAGTGATTCTGTGACCTATGATAATATGCATTGCAGTCTGATTGCAATCTTACAGCACAGGAGGAGATAATTCTGAAGCCCTGCATTTTTTTTTCCTTTTCAAGTATATGTATTCAATTCTGTTGTGAAGGTTTTAAAATTGAATTTGCTTCTGTTAGTGCAGCTTAGATCCTGCAAAAAAAATCTTCTCAATTCACCTCCAGTATTTCTGGCAATTTATTTTAAAAGTGTGCACTCTGGGTACGTGGAAATGCTCTCTCCCTCCTCCGGACAGACCGAGGGAGTCCTGGAGAAAGCAGTTGAATGAGAGGTCCCAACCTTAGTGACAAAAAAAATCCATGAGGTCTTCACATTTCTTATTGGGGTGGCAGCCAGGATGGAGGTTGAATGGGAAGCTGGGGAATGGAGAAAACAATCCATGGTCATCTTTGCTGTCTGAACTAATCATAGACTGAGAGGTGATTTTGAGGGAGAAGTGTTAGACTCTATAATGAATTGTTGTGATTGATGACTCAGCTGATTATGCACCAGATCTGTTTACATTCACGCCCATCAGTCCTAAAATGAGGAATAGCTGGGACGGGAGAGAATAAGTGTGAAGTACAAAAGGTAACTGAAACACTTTGAAATGTCAAAACTAAACATACAACACTGAAAAGCACTGAAGGGAATTTGCCAGTTTCTCACCTGGTATTTTATTGGCATTTTCCTCTACATATGTTTGGACTTTAATATACTCATCCTGTGATTGGTTGAAAAAGTCTTGAACTGCCTGCAGAATAACCACAAAATTAAAGAAAGTTACAGGATGCAACTAGGTATTACACAAGAGTTCATTCTAAAAGAGTGTGGCTGAAGGGGTCCCTACTTTGAAGTTTATTTGACCTGAAAACAAAATATAACAACTTTGTTCCATGTTGTCATTTCTTGCCCTTGAGAAGAATGCTTCTCTGTGAAGAAAATGCAGAAGGGTATCTCAATGGCCCATCCCATCCTCTACATTGGGATATGCATTGTCTGACTGATGCCTAAGTTCCAAGGCAATGATTGTCAGCACCAGAAAGCATGACACTGTGTGGCAGTACCCGGTACTGCCAATCAGGTAGACCATGGTCAAACCAAAAGTAGAGTTTCCTTCACTTGCCATCAGAAAGTGTTTGAAGTTTAGGATAATATACCCTGCTGCAACAGCACAATGCTTGTCTGTTTCCCATACCATGGACACCTGGTTTGAATCTCTTTTATGCATTTCAAACCGTACCCTTATAAACCTCAGCTTGGCTGCAGTCAAAAGGATGGGAAGGCTGACTACATAAGGGTCTGCTTCTGTGAAGACATTTTCTTCACAGAAATGTGATCTGGCCTGTAGAATGAACTGGTACCTGTATGCCTATTGTCTGAGGTTCTGTGCTAATAATTTTACTTTAGGCAGGATTTTCCTGGGTTTTGACTGATTGTGAAGGTGACTGTGTTGGTTGGCAACTAAATGCTGCCCCCTCACATTGGTAAAATAACACACCTATTACACACCCATTGGTTCAGCAGGGGTGTCATTGGCCTAGTGGTATCATCACGAGACTATCAATCCAGACACTCGGGTAATGTTCTGGGAACCTGGATTCAAATCCCACCGTGGCAGATGGTGGAATTTGAATTAAAAATAATCTGAGATTAAGAGACCAATGACAACCATGAAACTGTTACTGATTGTCAGCCAGTGGGAGGACGGGTTTCACTAATGCCCTTTAGGGAAGGGAATCTGCCATTCTTACCTGGTCATGGCCTACATGGGACTCCAGACCCAGGGCAAAAAAAAAAAGTTGACTCAACTGGGCAGTTATGGATGGGCAATAAATACTGGCCTGGCCACATCCTGTGAATGAATAAAACTGAAGTAAGAGTTGATAGGCAGTATTTAGGTGGGTTTTCCACCACATCAGGCACCTTGACAGTGGTGTGTCGGGTTGTCAGGAGCTGCCTGTCCCTCAGAGAGGTCAGTGGTTCCTAGGTCCTAAGGATTGACAGTCAAGGTCTACTGTTGAGGGGATCCAGCGATGAGAAGGTAAGTAAATCTTTTTTTTTTTCCCGTGTCATGGCATGGTGGTTATGGGGAGAGAGAGGTTTGGGAGTATTGGAGGCCATGGGGTGGGGATTGTGGATTCCAGATTGGAGAAACCAGAGGCAGGCTGCCCTATGTTCCTGCAGGTCACATTCCTCACCCACCAGGGAGATAGACAATTGGACTTTAATTGACCAGTTAAGGGCCTTAATTGCTGGTGAGCCAGGAAAGTCCCCTTCTTGCCTGGCATTTTAATTCCAGGGTTGGGGGTGAGTTTCTCTCCAGTGAGAACTCCTTTGATTATTTCCCCTTTCCACCACCTCTTTTGCCTCCCTCCAGGGAGGGGCAATTCCCATCCAATGGCATATTTTGATCAATGTCTTCGAGCTGAACTAAATGAGTCAATTTTATGCCCGTTCAAAGTAAAAACAAAATGTTCCCTGCTTTTGAGACTCGCATTGTGTGTCCAAATCCCCATCCTGTGCCCGCCTTGCCCACTTTGTCCCAGCCCTACCTGGGCATCTTGAGGCTTGGGTAGCTCCTGTATTCCAAAGCAGTAGTCTTCACTCATCTGTTGTGAGCCTTCCAGCTCGATGAGGCTCGGCAGGTTCTCCCACTGCTTCGAATCCAGACAGTCTGGTGGTGGTGCTGGAAGACCTTCACTGCCATCGAAACACAGCAGGTTCTCCTCCCCAGCTTCCCCACAGCTCAGGGACTGTTGCTGCTCTGGCTTAGCAGGCACCACCTCTGCAGATTGCTCTGCGGGTGATTCCTGGAAGTTCACGAGCAGTTGGCTATTTGCTTCGATGCCTGCATTTGTTGGCACAGACTCATCCAGCGGGGGGCTTTTCATGTTTAAAATCAGTTCCGTCTCCTCCATATTGGTGTAGGCCAATGGCTTCTCTGCCAGCTCACTGTGTGACTTTGAGGGCAGCTGGTCTATTCCATTGGCCTCCCAAAGGTCCAGCAAATTCTCATTTACTTGTGGAAAACTCTCATTTGTTTGTGGATTCCCAATGTCTACAAGGTGTTGTTCCTCAGTACTTATGAAGCCTGCTTGGTCACTCTGTACTGAATCTTCAATGTGTAGGAAGCTGGGTGCCTCAGGCCAGACAGGGTTTGGGATGTCTACATCTACAAGACCAGGTTCCTCGCTATAGCTTGGCACATTCCATTCTGGCACTGGGTCTTCATACTGAATTGGTGGTTCTTCTGGAAATTCGAGCACAGTCTTGTCTACATAGAAAAGAATGGGAACAGAGAATTGAGTTTAAACTAAAGGGTCTTGGTAGGGCATAGGCAAATTAATAAAATGCACAAAACTCTATAGATCAATATGTTTCCTTTGTGTCCTTTGTTCAAATGCTTCTATTCATGAATCAGAGGAGTAGCATTTTCTGAAGAAGGGTCCCAACCCAAAACGTCAGCTTTCCTACCCCTCTGATGCTGCCTGGCCTCCTGTGTTCCTCCAACTCCACACTGTGTTATCAATAAAGATTAGTAGTGTGTTTTAGACTGAAAAAACATCCTTATTACTGCTAATCCGCTATTGCTGGGGAGGAAATGGCCTAGTGGTATTATCGCTGGACTGTTAATCCAGAGACCCAGATAACGTTCTGGGGACCTGGGTTCAAATCCTGCCATGGCAGATGGTGGAATTTGAATTCAATAAATAAGAATGACTGTAAATCCATTGTCGATTGTTGGAAAAATGCCCTTTAGGGAAGGAAACTGCCCTCTGGGCAATTAGGGATGGGCAATAAATGCTGTCCTAGCCAGCCATGCCCTCATCCCGTGAATGAATAAAGAAAGATCATAGAATTGAACCCCGGTCCTTGGTGCTGTGAGGCAGCAGCGCTAACCACTGAGCCACCGTGCCACCCTATAACAGTTGGCACTGGTGGGTAAAAAACATTAATTTGAGAGAAGGATCTTTCAAGGTAAGGACCAAGCAAGGTGTCAAAGTCCATTAAATACTACAGACACTGTAACAAGGAATAGGCAATAGCTTCATATCCGTGGTAAACTGGGACTAGATGAATTTGTATTTTATGTCTTTGTTCATTTTCAAGGACAACTTCAGCTGTAAGTGAAGACAAATAGGATTACAGATTGATCTGGGATATATATGCCGACAGGAGAAGTTTGAAGTATTATCCAAATAGACAATATCAGCCTCTTCCTCAACAGTCCCTGGACTCTTGTTTCATGGATTCACATTTCACAGATCAAAATTCACACTCCTGTCCTCCCAGTGGAGCTCAAACCACTCAATTCCATATAATGGGATCCACTGAGCAGTGATACCTGTAAACCGGAATAGATTTGGAAGCTCTTCAACCTCAGCCTCTTCGTTCTCCTCGTATATTGGTGTTGCAACGATACTCGACTCGGGAGCACTAAATGACGTTACATCCTCCACTCTGGTCATTTCAAATTGTGTCTGATGAGCTGTTACAAGAGACAGGGAGGGGAGAAGGTGCAAAAAATCAAAAGAAACCCGGAACAACAGTCAATTTGCAACTTTAAAAATAAAACAGACTGCTAAATTTAACTTAATATTTCCAAAATCCACAGATTGTGTTACCCATTGCATCAGCAAAAATGACTCCGTCTATTAACAATGTACAGCAGTGTTACAAATCAGTGTTCTGATCTTCAAACTAAGAATGATCAATACTTCATACAATAGTGATAGGGAGGGTGGACGGAGATATCATATTGATTTTTTTTGAACAGGAATATACTCAAGTATCCACGCTATGATTAAACTTCTAGAATTGAAAATACATTTTTAAATAAGCTGTGTAAGGAATAATAGCTGTCTGCACTGAATCTAGCAGCAAATTGAACAGAAATTATTCATACATGGAATGATGGTGATCTTCTGTTTGTAGGATTCCTTAATAGAATATAAAGTTGGGGATGGCAGGATTTAACTCACAAAGATGGAACCATCAGACTTTTCTCCTCAGGGTATGCCAAAGATCTTTCTTTTTTAACATGATTTTCTGTCTAGGGAACTAATTCATTCATTAAGGACACTATTGTTTTAAACATGTTTTTGCCATTAATAAAAGGAGACATTCAAAAGTTTAAATAAATCAACTTTCTGTACATGATAGGAAAATCAAACAGAGAAATTCCTCCCATGCAGCCTGCACTAGAGGAACTAAAAAGACCACCCATATGGATCAGATATTCAATTACACTAGCAACCACCCCAATGCCCACAAACGGAGCTGCATCAGGACACTATTTAAATGAGCCGCAACACATTGCAGCAACTTGGAGCTACACAAAGCGGAACAGGAGCAAGTATACGGAGTCTTCAAAAGGAATGGATATCTGAAGAAACACAATCTGTCATTACCTCTGAGACAGACCACAGCAGGAAGACACAACACGACCAGACTCACTAATCACCCTACTGTACATCAGGGACATATTGGAGATGACCACAAGACTGCTCAGACTTGTAGGTATCAGGGTAGCCCACAAACCGACAACCACCCTACAACAGCTACTGACAAATGTAGAGGATCCCAAACCCAAAACCAGCAAAACCGGTGGAAGGACTGTGAGAAACATTACATAGGCCAAACTGGAAGAAAATTGACAATATGGATACACAAACACCAACTAGCCACCAAGAGACATGACCAATTCTCACGGGTCTCAATACACACGGACAATGAAGGACATGAACTCGACTGGGACAACACATCGATAATAGCACAAGCCAAATGGAGACACGCCAGGGTATTCCTGGAAGCCTGGTATTCCAACCAGAACTCCATCAATAAACACATTGAATTAGACCCTGTGTACAAACCACTGAGAAACAGAACCGGAACTAATACCAACCACCCCAGCAAACCAAGGCATATAAATAACAAGTGGGACAGAACACCAACGCTTCACTGGAGGCGCACTGACGATGTTACCTAGCGGGGTGGTGAAACATTTGCAACCAAACCCACCGGCTCAGCGAGCATGTCTACAACCTTGTACCTAATTCCTTCTGAAATGTTATGAGGGTTTCTGCCTCCCAGGCAGTGAGTTTGAGATTCTCATCACCCTCTTGAGTTGATTTGCTTTCCTCACATCTGATCTAAACCTCCTCCCTCTTATCTTAAATCTAGCACCCTATACAAACAACCTCAGTCTGTCTAACCTCTCTTCATAACTGAAACTGTCCAGCCCAGGCAACAAACTGGTAAATCTCCCTCTGCACCCTCTCCAGTGCTATCACAGCCCTGCTATAACATGGATTCCACAACTGCACACTATACCCTAGCTGAGCCCTAACCAACGTTTTATATTGTTCCAGCATAACTGCTCTGCTCTTAGACTCCCTATCTCTGCCAATGGAAACAAATATCCCTTATGCTTTCCTGGCCACTTTGTGTCCCATTACCTTAAGGGACTGGTATACATGCTCTCCAACATTCCTCTGACCTTCCCCAGGGTCCTACCATTCAACATGTATCCCCCTCCCTGGTTGTCTAGCCTGGTAATCCACCCTGCCTAGGTGGATTACCTCACATTTATCCGAATTGAATTCCATTTGCCATTGATCAGGTCTACTCAAATAAAAGGTCATTGTTCTTTTCTCAGTGAGTCAGAATCCAAATTCACCTTGAAAGGTCAAAGTCATGTAGTTTAAGCACACATAACACAGAAGAATGACTATCAAGAGTACCTCACAGTCCTCAATGGAAAGGCTCTTGAAGAACACAAAAGAAGTCAAGAAGTTGGAGCTTACCTTTCAAAGCATACAAGAAAAGAATGTGGAACTGCTTTTCAGGAAGCCAGGAAGGAAGAACTTAGCTTTGAATGCACAAATGGAAGACAGAAAGATAGAACTGCTTTTCCAGAACAGAGAGAAGATGGACTTTATTTTCTGAGGCACACAGCTGAGATGATGGAGGAACTTACCTTCTGTGGCACTCAGGGAATGCAAGAACGTGGAATTATTTTACAGAACCACAGAGGACAGGAATGTGAAACAGCTTTTCAGACAGAGGAAAGAGAAAAGTGGGAAACGGCTTTTGAAACATACTCTGACGGTAGGACATTTGAAATGACACATCAATAGATAAACAGAAAGAATTTTTGAAGCATTTAACCAAACTTCAAATGGCCCGTACAAAGGAATGCAGATTACAAAGATATTAAGAGTTTGCAGGATGCCTTTTGAAGTGATAAAATAGATCATCTTAAATGTAGACTAAATCGGCCCCTTAGTGGGATTGTATCTGCAGTTAGGAGCCCAGATCTATATCTGAGCAAGTAACAGCAGTTTTAAATGGGATTTGGACACTCACTTCTGATGGTATGGCATTAGTTAAGCAGGTGATGGAGTTAATTGATTAACTTACTGTATGGACAGATATAGAAGGGAATTAGATATGACTGTTGAGGGGAAGGAGCTGTAAGACTAAGTAATTCATAAACTGTCTGGACAATTATTGGTGTGTTGGTTGAGACTGACCTGGATCTGACTGCATCTTTGGCATTCTGCAAGGTAATAGTTAATCTGGAGTTTGTGGTCTCAAAATACACCCTGCTGTGTTTGAGTTTACTCATCAGTTGGCTGTGATAACTGTGAAATTCTAACAATTATTTTACAATATTTATGTTGTCAGATGAAGGAAATCCTTCCTTTAATGGATCTGTGGTATACTGCGCTGATATGTGTGATACTGAGCCATGAAGTCCTGAAACATTGAAAGTTTTGACTTTCAATATATCCTGAGTTAGATGATTTCAGCGAAGGAGTTCTAGGGTAAGAAAATCTAAATTCATGATCACTGGACTCGAGACCATAACGAAGAGCAGCCGAATTCCCATCTCTGGACACGAACCCTCACTTCCAGCAAGGGACATGTGGTAAAAACAAGGAAAGAGGATGCCTAGACTGTTATTACTGTAACAAATTAATAATTCATTGATACTTTTTGTTCAGATTCTCATATTAAGCAAAGATACTTGGGTAACGTACCCGAGCAGGTATTGTCATTAGCATGAGTTATCAACTTTAGGACAGAAGGGATGGCAAAATCTAAAATCCAAAATATATGTTTGTATTCAAAATATAATGTCAAGTTATTAATTTTAATAATCAGTTTCTGTTCATTTATAAATATGCTTCAAAATGATGAGCACTGGTTGGGAAGCTTCAGCCTAATTGTACAAATGTTGTGTTTCATGAAAGAATTTCCACAGTTCTTTCTCCATTTCTAACTGTGAAGGATCAATAGAAACCCGGGAGAAATGGTGTACATGGCAGGGTTTAAGCAGTTTACCCAGGAGTTCCACTGAGCCAACATTGCAGAAATTCTCTCTTTGATGCTTTTCTTCCAACCAGTGCCCATTCCGAATCTGGGGCTCTGTAGCTTCCTGAAGAGCACTTGCACATTCCAAGATGCAGAAACATAGATACGCTACATCGCATTCGTGGGTGAGGTGCAGAGCAGCAAATAAAATGGAGCTTTGCAATATTGCGCAAAAGCAGAGTACACATTTCAAAACAAAGACAAAGGTGCAAAACTGGACTGTTAATGCTTTTCCAAGCTCATCTGAAGAAACATGACACTGAAGACTCAATCAGCAATTTTCTCTGCAACTCATATTGGTATAACACACAGAGTCCTTTAGAGGAAAAGTACTAATATGATTACCTTATGTTTTCATGCCTTTTGGAATGTGTAAATTCCTTACTTGTATAGATCTTTTACGTACCTCCCTCCTGTTTTGCATATTCCCTTGGGTCACAATGCAACATTCCCTTTAGCAGGTAGGCAGCTGCCCTGAATATACGCCACTCATAACATCAGGCTTTAAACAAGTACTACTGTGCATTGGAAAAGGGCAAATGTCCATTCATTCTCCTGTTTCTCTTCCCTCTTGGGGTTTGTGGGTGCGAATCTACTTAATAATTCTAAAATCTCCTCAAATGTTTTGAATCATTCTTCTATTGTGCATCTGACTTTTCAGTTGAAATTGTATTACCAGATGGGAAGGAATTGAATTAAAAAGATAAAAAGACAGACTGTAAATGGGAGTGGAAAATCAATAATATTTGGATGTCCTTACAAAGAACAAAGAAAATTACAGCACAGGAACAGGCCCTTCGGCCCTCCAAGCCTGCACCGATCCAGATCCTCTATCTAAACCTGTTGCCTATTTTCCAAGGATCTGTATCCCTCTGCTCCCTGCCCATTCAATCTGTCTAGATACATCTTAAATGATGCTATCGTGCCCGTCTCTACCACCTCCGCTGGCAACGCATTCCCGGCACCCACCACCCTCTGCGTAAAGAACTTTCCACGCATATCTCCCTTAAACTTTTCCCCTCTCACCTTGAAATCGTGACCCCTAGTAATTGAGTCCCCCACTCTGGGAAAAGAGTCTTTACCCTTTGCTAAAATTTACAATAGCTTAAT